CGACTGCGAGTAGAGGGGATCTACGCCATGGTAAAGGATGGGAGGGAGGGGTAGGACGTCAGATATGACGCGAGCGCACCTAGCTTGCCCCCCCCCCCCCTCCCCCCTCCCCTCCCTCCCTCCTCCCCCCTCCTCCCATCCCTTCGCCGCGCGCGGGGGAGGGGGGGAGGGGACAGGAGCGGGGGCGTGCGCGCGGGAGGGGGCGGCGGAGGAGGCGGCGGAGAGGCGGCGCGGCAGAGGGGGTTCACGGGCAGGGCTGCAAGTGCACCTTCTGCCAGAGCGGCGACGCCGCCGCCATCTGCCTGCCGTGCGGCCACGCCGTCTCCTGCGAGGCCCCGGCGCGGGCGGGCGGAGGGGGAGAGTTCCAGGAAAGTTGAGTGGATCGAGGCTCGATGATCGAGTTTGTCGTTGTGCTTGCTCGTATATCAATGTATGCATTTACGCATATACATATATATAGAGAGAGAGAGAGAGAGAGAGAAAAAAAAAAAGAGCTACGTGTTTATACATATACATATATGGGAGATCCCGGGCCCCGGGCCCCGGGCCGGAACCTCCCTTGTATATAGGGTGCGGCCCTCTCCCGGGGCGCCCTTCCGGCGGCCCCGGCGCGTTCCAGCCCGCCCAAGAGGGCTTCAGGAGCGCCGAGAGAACCCCAGGATCGCTTCAAGACCGCCACAGATCGCTTCCAGAAGGGTCAAGACGCGCTCAAACCGCCCCAAGAGGCCTTCAAGAGGCCCCCCACGAGCGCCCCGGGAGACCAAAATAGCCCCATTCCCTTCGTAAAACGTACATTTTTACGATAACAGCTCCCTTAGCTGTCGGAGCGGCCAGAAAGCCCCACGAGGCGCCCAAGGACGCTCCAGGACGACTGAGGACAGCCCCAAGACGGCCCAGGAGGGCCTCCCGGGACGCTCCTCCGGCGGCCCCCGGGCTGCCCAGTCCGCCCAAGAAGGCTCCAAGAGCGCCGAGAGAACCCCAGGATCGCTTCAACACCGCCAAAGATCGCTTCCAGAAGGGTCAAGAGGCGCTCAAACCGCCCCAAGAGGCCTCCAAGAGGCCCCCCAAGAGCGCCCCGGGAGACCAAAATGGCCCCATTCCCTTCGTAAAACGTACATTTTTAGGATATCAGCTCCCTTGGCTGTCGGAGCGGTCCGAAAGCCCCACGAGGCGCCCTAGGATAGCCCGAAGACAGCTGAGAACGACCCTGACTCCCGACGCCATGATCTGCTGAAACCCTAAGAATAGATCCCTTCCCTGGGGCCGCACTTTTGTCCCAAACCGTTCTTACGGCCCCAAGACCAAACAAGGACATCCAGAGGCCAAAAGCTGTTAAAAACCTTCCTTCGTGACTTTTTCACCACGCGAGGGGGTTTGGGGAGGAGGAAGCAGGAAGAGGAAGAGGAGGAAAGAGGAGGACGGGGGATGGGGATCGCGGTTTCAGGACGTCTTTGCGATAACTTCTCTGTTTGGAGACCTGCAGCAGGAGGAGCGATGAAGAGGATCACAGATAAAAGGAAGGAGGGAGGAGGGAGCAAGGAGGAAAAGGAAGCAAGGAAGGCACAAAAAACGAAAAAGGAGGTTGCACTCCCTTTTCCGCTCCCTGCCCAAGGACCCTCCTCTCCCAAGTCCGCCAATTCCCTCCTCCACCCGTGTCCCCTCACCCCCCTCTCCCAACACGGAAGAATCCGTTCCCCGGTAAGCTTGCCCATTGCCCGGTGAACTGGCCAACTCCTTGGATGTAGGTTCTGAAGATGCTGAAGCTTAGGAAATTTCAAAGCCTTGCCAGAAGCTCTTTGGCAGTTTCTAAGGCGTTCCTTGGCAACTTCTAAACGCGCTCCTAAGCATTTTCTCTGGCGCTGCTTGGCGGCGTCTAAGGCATTACATGACAGATTCGAATATGCTCCTTGACAGGAGCCCTGAAGAATCCCAAGGAATTCTTACGGATGCCATATATATATATTAAAAATGAAAATTAGCCTGACGAAAGACCCAACCGTGCGTAGTTGTGAATACCGCAATTGTGGATATTTTCTTCGGTGGCGCCCGCGGGCCACGAAACGAGTGAGGTGTGTGCCGAAATGGGGGGTGGAACCGCATGCGAGCGCAGCCACTGGGGCGCTCGGTGGAGCTCCCTATGGAGCCACGAAGCGTGTGAGGGGTGTGCCAGAATGGGGGGTGGAACCGCATGCGGGCGCAGCCACTGGGGCCTTCGGTGGAGCTCCCTATGGGGCCACGAAACGTGTGAAGGGGTATGCCAGAATGGGGGGTGGAACCGCGTGCGGGCGCAGCCACTGGGGCCTTCGGTGGAGCTCCCTATGGGGCCACGAAACGTGTGAGGGGTGTGCCAGAATGGGGGGTGAACCGCATGCGGGCGCAGCCACTGGGGCCTTCGGTGGAGCTCCCTATGGGGCCACGAATCGTGTGAGTGGTATGCCCAGAATGGGGGTTGGTAACGCGCAATGCGGCGCAGCCACTGGGGCTTTCGTGGAGCTCCCATTGGGCCCACGAAGCTGTGAGGGGTTGCCAGAAGGTGGGTGGAACCGCATGCGGGCGCAGGCCACTGGGGCCTTCCGTGAGCTTCCCGATGGGCCACGAAGCGTGGGAGGTTGTGCCGGAATGGGGGAACCGCATGCGGGCAAAGCCAGTGGGGCCTTCGGTGGAGCTCCTTATGGGGCCACGAAGCGTGTGAGGGGGTATGCAGAATGGGGGGGTGGAACCGCATGCGGCGCAGCCACTGGGCCTTCGGTGGAGCTCCCTATGGGCCACGAAACATTTGAGGGGTGTGCCCAGAATGGGGGGCACAGCATGCGGCGCAGCCACTGGGCCTCTTCGGTGGAGCTCCCTATGGGCCACGCGAAGCGTGTGATGGGTGTGCCAGAATGGGGATGGAGACCGCAATGCGGCGCAGCCCCTGGGCCTTCGGTGGAGCTCCCTATGAGGCCACGAAACGTGTGTAGTGTGTGCCAAAATGGGGGTGGACACAGCGATGCGGCGCAGCCACTGGGGCCTTCCGTTGGAGCCTCCCTTATGGGGCCCATCTAAAACGTGTGGAGGGGGTGCCATAATGGGGGTGGAAGCCCCCCCCCCCCACAGCGCAAGCGGCGCAGCCCACTGGGCCACTGGGGCCTTCGGTGGAGCTCCCTATGGGGCCACGAAACGTGTGAGGGGTGTGCCAGAATGGGGGGTGGAACCGCATGCGGGCGCAGCCACAGGGGCCTTCGGTGGAGATCCCTATGGGGCCACGAAACGTGTGAGGGGTGTGCCAGAATGGAGGGTGGAACCGCATGCGGGCGCAGCCACTGGGGCCTTCGGTGGAGCTCCCTATGGGGCCACGAAGCGTGTGAGGGGTGTGCCAGAATGGGGGGTGGAACCGCATGCGGGCGCAGCCACTGGGGCCTTCGGTGGAGCTCCCTATGGGGCCACGAAACGTGTGAGGGGTGTGCCAGAATGGGGTGTGGAAGCGCATGCGGGCGCAGCCACTGGGGCCTTCGGTGGAGCTCCCTATGGGGCCACGAAACGTGTGAGGGGTGTGCAGAATGGGGGGTGGAACCGCATGCGGGCGCAGCCACTGGGGCCTTCGGTGGAGCTCCCTATGGGGCCACGAAACGTGTGAGGGGTGTGCCAGAAGGGGGGGTGGAACCGCATGCGGGCGCAGCCACTGGGGCCTTCGGTGGAGCTCCCTATGGGGCCACGAAACGTGTGAGGGGTGTGCCAGAATGGGGGGTGGAACCGCATGCGGGCAAAGCCACTGGGGCCTTCGGTGGAGCTCCCTATGGGGCCACGAAGCGTGTGATGGGTGTGTCAGAATGGGTGTGGGAGGGGGAGGAGGGGGGAGGAAGGGGAGGAGGAGGAAGGAGGAGGAAGGAGGAAGGAGGAAGGAACGCGGGGGCCGTCTCTTCAAAACGAGGACCCAACAACACAGGTTGGTTGGGAAAAAAAAAGAAAGTCTTGGAATTCCCATTCTTTTTCTCGAATCCTCGATCTTTGAGGGCTGGAAGCGGGAAAACGTGAGAAACCGAAAAACGTAGAAAAACTATGGAAAATCAGCGATTTTACCCTCTTTGGGCTCTCTCGGGGCGGTTCTCGCAGCTCTCTTGGGCTGTTCTTGGAGCCTCGTCAGGGTCTCTTTGTGGGGCCTCTCAAGGATGGGGGTGTGTTGGGGGCTTCTGGGGGGTCCCGGAGGCCTTTCGGAGGTCTCTGGAAGCCTCCTGCTCTTGCTCTTGGGCCCATCTTGGGCCTGTTCTGGGGTGATCTGGGGCTGTGCTGGGCGCCTCTTCGGCAGTCTTGAAGCCTTCTTGGCCCGTCTTGGGGCCGTCCTGCGGGTCTCTTGGGTGGTCTTGGGCCGGTCTTGGGAGGCTCTTCGGCGCTCTTGGACCGTTGGAAGCTCGAAAACGCGAGAAGGCAAAAACATTGAAAAAGACCATTGAACATGTACGACTTTGGCCTCTTCGGGCCGTACCGTGATACCTATCAGACTTCTTGGGGTCTCTTGGGGGCCACCTGGGAGCTTCGAGAGCCGCCCGAAGGCTGACTTGCGCTGCCCGGGAGCGTCTCGGGCCATCCTTTCGCATTCTGGGGGCTCCTGGGGGGCGTCTTGGGCCCTCCTGGAGCGCTGTGGGCGCTCCCTGGATGTGGCCATATCTTTTCAGCGCGTTCCGGGGGCATCTTCCCGGAACGCGCTCGTGGCAGGGCGCCCGCGCCCGAGGACGTCGGCATGGGAAACCGCGGCGCGTGATCATTCCAGTGCGTTCCGGCGAGTGGGGGAGGGGGGAGGGGGGAACGAGTGCTCTGCCGCTGCCACGGAGAGAAGGAGCAGGAGGAGGAGGAGGAGGAGGAGGAGGAGGCCAAGGAGAGGGGGACGAAATAATCGATGACGAGACCATTCGACATTGCAGTCGCCAGCGTCTGCGCTAGAACCTAAGCGCGCGCGAAGCGCGCGCGTGGTTCTAGTATATATATATGTATGTATATTCACATCTATGTATTTATATGCATCTATATGTATAACGCTGTCGTCTTGGTTTTGCGGTGTCGGTCGTGCTCTTCTTTGTAGAAGAGGTTTCTGGAGATTCGCGGGGCCGTGGGAGGCATCTGGGGACGCGGGCGCCCTCCATGGGCATCTCTGGGACCTCCAGGGACCGTCTTGGGGGGAGGGTACATCAAGGCCTCCCAGATGGGGTCGGAGGATCGCGCCAGTGGGAGGCATCTGGAGACGCGAGGGCCCTCCGGGGGCATCCAGGGAATTCCAGGGACCGTCTTGTGGGGAGGGTAAGACTAGGCCTCCCAGATGGGGTCGGAGGATCGCGCCACATCGCCGATACA